TAAGCTCTGAGACAGGCTGAGCGTTTTCCATCTGCAAGCCATAGACTCACTCATTCGACAAATATTTATAAGTCCCTGCTATGTGCTAAGCACTCTTATAGGTGCTGGACACACAGCAATAAGCAAGGCAGCTCTGCCCACGCTGCTGTTCCATTCTGGTGCGTATGTGGGCAATGGGAGGGGGATCAATAAACATCTACTGTTACAAAAGGGTAGAGGCATCTCGGTTGCTATGGCAACAGTTGCTGGGCGATGACGTCAACCAAGCCCCAAACAGTGGTGACAGCCTGATCCGAAGGCACTTAGGAGTCGCTGGGAGGTTATTCCCTTGGGAAAACTGTTGATTGGAAAAAATAACTGAAGATGTATAGCATGTCTGAGTCACAAGGAAAGAGGAAGCAGGGAAGGCAGAAGGGTGAATAAGGCCACTGCCCCAAGCACATGAAACAGCCCCTGAAGGGTGGGTGACAAGGGAAGAGCCAGGGCAAAGCCTACTCTGAATCCTTGCCCAGGTCAGAACCAGGAAGAAGGGTGGAGACTTTAGAGCAGGGTTTCCCAAAGGGCATTCCATGGAGCAGTAGTGCAGAGAGATGCTCTGTGGAGAAAAAGGGGGTTCTGTAGCCACATTGAGCAGTGCTACCTATTCTATCACTGTGTGGGATGTCCTCAAAGTATATTGGCATAATAGAGGTTCTGAGAAGTCCTGCAGCAAAGAATGCCATCTAGCCTATCCAGCATTTCCTAAACCTTTTCCAACACCTAACATTCCCATGGCAGTCTACAGAACACTCTAGGAGACACACTGCTTTAGAGCAATAGAAGATCAGGGTGATATGAAAAAGAGCCACCTCTCAAGCCTGGAGATGAGACCTGGATTACAGATACCAGTGACAGGTGAGAAGCGGGACTGATAGGGCTGTGGTTATGTGTCCCATGGCTTCAAACTATTTGTGGATTGCCTGCTATTATGGCTAATTAACATTGATGTTCAACTGATTTTACAGAGTTGTGTAAAATCAAGCTTCACAGAAAGAGCTTGGACAGAAAAGCTGACTCAGTATCTCTGAGTTATGTATATCTTCACAGGGGAGGAAATGCAAACTGAGGCCCTGCCCAGATACTCCAACCACCTGGTGTAGCTTGCCTGCTTCCAAGTTATCAGCCTGGCAAACTCACGGTAGCAAGTGAGGACAAATGTCAAAGTCCTCCTGGGAAATGTGCAGCAGTGAATTTTGCTAATAAGGTGGAAAGTAATTTTTTAAGTGACATTTACATTAAAATTGTGATTTTAAAAGCATCATATCTGCTCTTTCATTTTATTGTGTTAATCCAACTGATACATATTTGGCTCCTGCAGAAACTGAGGTTCACATTACTTAAGAGACTTGCCCAAGGTCACACAGTGATAAAGCCTGGATTAGAACTCCTGTCTTAGGACTCTTCATCCAGTGATTTTCCCACTGTCCAAGAAGAGACGACCCTGTAGATCCTTTCAATGTGATCCAAGACTCATGCTCATTCATTCAACAAATATTTATTGAGCACCTACAATGAATGAGCCAGGCTCTGATCTAGGCATAGGAATAGAGAGAACAAAACAAAATCTCTGCTCTCATGAAGCTTGCATTGTAGTGGGCAAGACAGATGACTGTTATAAATTGAATAAAACAGATGCAGTAAATGTTTGAAGAGAAATAAATCAGGAAAGGAACTGGAGATTGATGGGGAGACTTTTTGATGAAGAGCTTTTTGAGTAAAGACCTAAATGAAGCGGGAAGTGGCCCATGCAGAAATCTGGAGAAGAGAGATCCACGAGAAGAAGTGGCCGGTGCAAAGGCCCTGGGGCAGCAGTGCGGGGGCCTGTGTGGAGAACAGCCTCAAGGCCAGTGTGGACACAAGGGAGAGTGAAACCTGAAGGTGAGAAAGCCAGCAGGGCCAGATCACAAAGGGCCTTAAGGTGAGGGTGGTGATAAGATGTATTACATCTTTGACCTGTTACTCAGAGTGCCCTTTCACAGCACCATGAGTCATGACAGCTCTTGCATCCAGGAGCTGTTCTGAGGTCTGTGATGGGGAGAAGTGAAGGCTGGCAGTGGGTTTAGACACAAGGTGTTTCGAGAGTAAACTGCTGTTTAGAGGTGGGTGACTAGGAGGACACCTGCCCCAACTCTTCAGGTCTCAGAATTTTTCCAAGTGGAACCTGGCCTTGAGAAAAAGACGTGGCGGGTGCGGGTGGTGGGGTGGAAAATCATTCCTCCCTCAGCAGGCGGCTAAGAAGCTTGAGGTACGAGCGAAAAGGGGCAGACAGAGCCCTCTTGGCCCCTAAGGGACTCAGGAATGAGACCTCCAGGAAGGTTACCAAATGCTGCCACCCCTTCCAGCCAGCCCAGCTGTAGCGTCAATTCCTTGTTCCTGATGTGCTCCAAATCTGGGCTGTTGTTTATTCTCTTGCAAATCTTAGTGGCACCTTTTCCCAGCATGCTCTGAGACAAGGGTTGGAAGAGCAGTGTTGCCTAACAAATAACGACCATCATAATTTATTCACCGCCTGCTACGGGCAGGCACGACTCTGTCCCATCAATAGCATCTCCTCCATGCCTCACAACTCTACAGTGCTGGGATTATGATTGCCATTTTGCAGTTGAGGAAACTGAGGTCCAGAGATGGTAACTAACCTGGTCAAGGCCACACAGCAAGTAGGTGGCAGATTCAAGACTCAAACCCAGATTATTAAAATAACACTGTCAAGTCTCTGTGTCTGTCTTCATGGTCTTTTGCTCTGTTTGTTTGTTTGTTTTTTGAGACAGAATCTCATTTTGTTGCCCAAGCAGGAGTGCAGTGATGCAGTCTTGGCTCACTGCAGCCTCCACCTCCCAGGTTCAAGCCAGTCTCCTGCCTCAGCCTCCCAAGTAGCTGGGATTACAGGCACCTGCCACCACGCCTGGGTGATTTTTGTATTATTAGTAGAGATGGGCTTTCACCATGCTGGCGGGGCTGGTCTTGAACGCCTGACCTCAGGTGACCCATCCACCTCAGCCTCCCAAAGTGCTGGGATTACAGGCGTGAGTCACCGCGCCTGACCTGCTTTTCTTTCTTATACCCCTTATTCGTCCCTTAGGTTTGTGTAGCATTTAACAGTTTGCAAAGTGTTTGCAGAGTCTCAGTATCATTCCACCTTGTGTCCAGTTTCTCGCTTGCAATATCAGCACCCTTGTCTGTCTCCTCCCTCTTCCCCTTTTATGTCAAAGCTCCTTCTGGATAGAGAATGTGTCCTACTCGCTTTCAGCCCACCTCTTTTCCTTCTAGCACTTTGCACAGAGCAGGCCCTTAACAAATGTCTGAGGAATTAATGCACTGGCACTCTAGGGTCAGACTGCCTGAATTTAAATCCTGATATTGCCACTTACAAGCTATGTTACCTTGGGTAAGTTACTTAACCTCCCTATGCCTGGATTTCTTCATCTGTCATTCTTATCAGAATTAAAGAATTAGTTCCCAGCACATGGTCAACACTGTGTAAATATTTGTTAATAAGTTCTACATTTCTCTTCCTTTTTCTCTTTACTTCTTTCCTTTTAACTTAATGATAATAGCTAACACTTATATAGCACTATCATATGCCTGGTCATGTTGCAAGCACTGTTCTGACCTTAACTCCAGGCCTGAATCTGCCTCCTGCACTTGAACAAGCTCCAGACTGGGTGTCACTTTAGCGGTCACAAGTCATCAGGTGGGCAGGAGTCTAATGAGTGACATGGAGGGCCCATCTCCCACAGGACCGAGGGATTAGCAGACCTGGATGGAAGCTGGCCTGGCTACAGGTTCTGAGTATCTGAGAAGGTTACAGATCCTCAGCTGGAAAGAAAGGGCCCTAAAAGTGGCCAGACGGGGAGCAGGCCCTACAGGGCACCACTTCAATATGCCTGCTTGCCAGCTGACCCACACATAATATGTGGTAAAATCAAGACTTAACAACTGTAAACCTCCATGAGCATTCAAGAGCTTCGCAATAAACCTTCTACAATGGGGATAAACATGGATGTGCCCGTGCTGTTTGCCTGGGCGGGCAACTTACACACAAATTGGCTATCTTAAGAGGTAGAAACAGGCTAACCCGTCTTTTTTATGTCCCTGTACATATTTGTTTTGAAGGTAGAGATCATTTCCTGCTTCAGTGCACATTTGAAATGGACATCCCCTGGGGGTGGGCGGAGTGGCCGCTGGAAGGTAATAGCAGGGACTTCTGGTAATACTCAGTTTCTCGATCTGGGAGCTCTTTCATGAATGCGCTCAGTTTGTGAGCCTACACCTATGGTCACTGTGCTTTTTATATATGTACATGATACTACAATAAAACGTTTTTAAAAGTATACATTCTTCATCACTGCAGTGTTTGTGATGGGGAAACAATGGACACACCCCAAAAGACCATAAAATAAATGAAGTCACATCTGTAGCCACTAAAAATAATGATCTAGAGATATAGGAATGATTCAGAAAGATATGAAGTTAGGTGAAAAAAGGAGTTACAGGGCAGAGAGTATACTCTCATATCTGAAAAGAACATTGAACAGTGTCAGATAACCATTTGACCATTTTAACCTGCAAGTTCATGTAGTTCATCAAATACACACACAGTATACATGATATATACATAAGTTTATAAGAAAAATGTCCTGAAAAAGTACATCTTGAGTTGTTAAGAAGGTAGATTAAGTTTTCAGTTTCTGTGTTATCCATTTAAGTGTCTGTCTTCATTTTAATTAATTTTTCTGTGATGACCTTGCATTGCTTTAGTGATCAGCAAAACAATAATCACAAAGATATAACTTAAAAAAAAAAAAAAAACTCTCCTTCCTCAGTGTTGTAGACCTGGGCAGTGAAGAAAGATTGGGCTGGTGTGAAGTCTTAGGTGTTCTCCGGCTGCAAATTCTAAGATTCTAGCAGAAACAACCCCAAGCCTGAGTGAAGTTCAGTTGCAGCACTTGAAGCAAACATACCTGTAAAATTTTGGAGTAACTGATCACAATGACCAGTCCTGGCACCAAGAAGTTCAAAGTAACAAAAGACACATCCCACGAGATCTCTCCAGGAATGGTGGGCCACATCAGTGTGCAAATCGGAATTTCCTAGTTACAAAAAGGAAAAGAACATCATGTACATGTTGGCTTCTTATTGGCCTCTGGCTCAGTCTTATTGAGGGTTTCCTGACACTTACACAGTTGCATTTCCCAGTTACACAACTAGCATGACAGTGAATCCCAAAATCCCTCCCACTGCCCACCACAATCCCACTTACAAAGCGCTTGCCCCTGGCCCTCAGAATAACTGTGATTATGATTCCCATTCTCCAAGGACAACAACTGAGCCTTAGTAAGTAAGCAGCAGATTCAAGGCTTAAATTCAGATTAGTAAAATAATCCTGTCAAGTCTCTGTGTCTGTCTTACGGCCTTCTGCTTTTTTTTTTTCTTTTTTTTTTGAGACAGAGTCTCAATTTGTTGCCCAGGCTGGAGTGCAGTGTCTGGCAGGAATTCCTAGGTTTTCTCCGACTGCAAACTCTGAGATTTGTGGTAAGAGCTAGAGCCAGTTCCCAGCTGTGGTCTTTCCACTTCCCTCAGCTGGCATGCAAAGGGCTTTTGAGCCTTCTCTGCCAAGTCTGCCATTTTACAAAGGAGAAAACTGACCCCTGAAAGGTTACATAGATCGGAAAGGACATGCTACATAACAAACTTACCAAAACTGGAACGAAGCTTCTGTGGTCACACTGTCTAAGTTGAAGGCCACAGGGTTTGTGCTAAGGCAGTAAGCGTTCATGTTGGGGGTGCTCAGGTGTCTAAAGTGTGTCAAGCTGCATCAACCTGGCCATCTAGAGCCCCAAGGCGAAGATCAGCCTTCACTCTCAGGCAGTTCAAGATGTAAAACCAATGGAACATGGCAGAAGCATGTGAAGGTTTGTGATCTTGCTGCTCTCACTACTTTGTATTGATTCAAATGTTTAACACTAACTGCAAGAAGATATGGGGACCTTACTGAGTAGTTACTAATGGTTTCTGCAACAATTTCTTCCAGTGAATGAATAGGTCAATGAAAACAGACCCTGTGTGTATGTATATACTAACTTCCCACATATAAATTTCCTATGCCCACTTGACTACAGAAACAAAACTGTTTAGAAAACAACTGGCCCTAACTCATACATATAGAACAGATTTTTAAGAGCACATGCTGGGTAAAAAAAACTACATTATTGATTTTGAAGGGCCAAAGGACCATTCATTCATTCACTTGACCAACATTCAATGAAAGCTCTACTAGGCAAAAGCAGAGAATTTTTAACAGTGAATCAACACTGGGCTGGTGTGAACATATGGTGGGGGGAGGTTTATTAAATCTGTCCACATTTTGGTGATTGGAAAGAAACCTGTTTCTTTCTTTTTCTTTTTCTTTTTTTCAGATGGAGTCTTGCTCTGTCACTAGGCTGGAGTGCAGTGGTGCAATCTCAGCTCACTGCAGCCTCCGCCTCCCAGGTTCTAGCGATTCTCCTGCCTCAGCAACCTGAGTAGCTAAGACTACAGACATGCACCACCATTCTCAGCTAATTTTTGTATTTTTAGTAGAGATGGGGTTTCACTATGTTGGCCAAGATGATCTCAATCTCCTGACCTCATGATCCACCCACCTCAGCCTCCCAAAGTGATGGGATTACAGGCATGAGCTACCATGGTGGCCAGAAACCTATTTCTTTCAAAGATCTTCTGATTACTGGCAGTGAGCCTACCACTGCTCTCTAGATAACCCACACTGCTGTCTTTTGTACTCAGACCTCTGCCCGCAATGGACCCCTCATTCCAAGAGAGCAGCGGCAATACATATGAGCAGATATGCTGAAGCACCAATCAGAAGAAACAGATTCCAGCCCTGAATGGGACTTGGTCTCTAATTCCTATTCTTGTGGTGGAAAAATTTTAAGGGACAACAGAAAAACAGAAGATGCCCAGACCATTTTTTAAGACTCCCAACTCTTTCCAAAAGCCTTTTCCAGAGTATCTACCAAAATCTCTCCAGGTTTAGCAAGACTTTTGTAGAAGGTATAATGATAGAGCATGGTGTTCTCTCTACAATAGGAGTGAAAGAAAAAAAGCAGGTCCCTAAACCATGTGTTTCTATGATCCTAGTGTGTTGAAGAGAATGTGTATGTGTGAATGAGTGTATGGCCATCCAACACACACACGCACACACACATACACACATACAATCTCTTACACACACAAGCTCACATGCACACACACAAATATATATATATATATAGAAGGATACAACCCTGAAAGTGAAGTGTCTATTTCTAGGTAGGACTCTCAAGTTTTTTTATTCTTCTGGCTTAGCTGAATTTCCTGATTTTCCTTGATGCACCTATATTACTTTTATAAGAGAAAAAAGTTCACTTATAAATGAAATGATGATCAAACATGAAACACAGACCACCAAGACAGTTCTGCCAACTTTACCAGCTATTTTTCAACAGAGACAATGAAACTGTCCCAGGAAGCTCCCAAATTCCATGACTTTCATAAAGATGCTTTTTCACCTTTTGATTTGTGGCTCTTGCTCAGGCCAGGAAGTGTAATAAGGAAGTAAGATAAGACCTATGCCCAGCACCCCCACACATGAACTGAGAGGCAGTGCTGCTGGCCTGGGGGCCTAAATGATGGATTGAGATGCTCTTTAGAAGGTTTTATAAGGTACTGATGATTAAACGCACTGTCTGGTCTTATTTAAAAATAAAATACAGGCGCCATTGCAGAGATCCAAGTTGGTGTGACAATTTGGTTTCTGTGGGAAAATCCATTTGGCTTAAGTTCATTTGATTCTAGATATTCTCCCGCAGGCTGTGACTTGCAGAGGAGTTGGGCAGCGTGTCAAGTCTGGAAGGTGGGGACATGAATCCTATCATATTCTCTGTACTTTTTCTGCACATGTGAAGTGTCTCCTGATTTTAAAAAGGGAACTTGAAAAACAAAAGTGGCAGGTCTGCCTTGTTACTGACTTACAGAGGCGGAACTGGCAGAGTCAACAGTAGTCTTCTTTAACTCATTTGCTCAACTGCCCGACTCCAGACGTGGTGGCTGACCACAGCGAAGCCACAGTGAGGATGAGCGAGGCGCTGGCCCTGTCCTCCAGGAGCGAGGGAGGGAGAGAAGCACTAGGACACCTCAGGACAGGACAGACAGCTGGAAGTGTCCAGAGAGCTTCAGAGGACCAGGGAGGGAAGATCCACCCAGGAGGGGTTGTTTCTGCTATGCCTAGAAGGACCGCATCCGAGGGCACAGGGAGGCCGGAGCTCAGGTGTCAGGCCAGAAGGGATGAAGGTGGGAGGCCACTCACAGTGAAGGGTTAGTGTGACTTGGATCCCCCAAATGTGTTCTGCCTCATCCCGATCTCCACTTCTCCCTGGCCATCTCACCCATTTCCACCGCTCCTTTTGCAGGTAAAGCTCCAATTGACCCTTTGCAGCTCCATGCTTTCCTGAACCCCAGACTCACCCAACAGCCATGAGGACATCTCAGCAGGAGACCTCACAGGCACATTAAGCTTTGAAGAACTCACCCCAAAAGGTTCCACCTGATTCCTGCCCTGCCCACATCAGGGCACAGGGCCACCATTCTACAAGTTGACAGAAGCCCAAGCACTGGCCTTCTGCCTACCTCCTCCTCCCCACTCAGAAGGAATCTCTAAGCTCCTCCTTAATAGCCACTGACTCACCCATCTATCACTTTTTTTTTTTTTTTGAGACCAAGTCTTGCTCTAATTGCCCAGGCTAGAGTGCAATGGCACAATCTCGGCTTATGCAACCTCCGCCTCCCCGGTTCAAGCGATTCGCCTGCCTCAGCCTCCCCAGTAGCTGGGATTACAAGCATGCACCACCACACCCAGCTAGGTTTTTGTATTTTTAGTAGAGATGGAGTTTCTCCATGTTGGTCAGGCTGGTCTCAAACTCCCGACCTCAGGTGATCCGCCTGCCTAGGCCTCCCAAAGTGCTGGGATTACATGTGTGAGCCACGGCGCCTGGCCCTAACGCATTTTCACTGGCCTGCCCCCTAACCCTCACCAAGACCAGGCCATCACCACTAAGTCCAAACTTCCTACCAGACGACTCTGGCCCTTCTCCCACTCTCCCGTGCCAACCCTTCCAGCACCATCTTTTGCCCCCACTGCCCCTCATGCTCTACACAGCGTGGTGGAGAACCCTTTGCAAGGTTCAGAACAGCAGTCACTGCTCCTTTAGCCTCCACGTGGGCCCTTTCCTCTGCCTACGATGCCCTCCATCCCCTTGCCTGGCTTGCTTCCTCTCATCTTCACACTCAGTGGGGACACCACCAGCTTCCAGTAGCTTCCCGGACTCCCCACACCCAGTAGAGACTCTTCCACAGCTCACCACAGCTTGTGCAATTGTCCCCTTCCCTGGCTGGATTCCCCACTGAAGTGTGTTACTAAGGGCGGGGACCAAGCCTGCCTTTTTCCAGCCAGCATCCCAGCTCCTAGAATTCTGTCTGATATACCTTAGGTGTTCAGGAAAAAATTGCCAAACCAGATTTTCTAAGAAGACTCCCCTTGAGGATGGGGACATCTGTCTACAGGGACGGCTGAAATGCTGACCCTCCCCACACTGGCTGACTTATTTGCAAACACTGCCTTATTCCAGCTGTTTTCCTATCAGTCTCTCTGATGATTCTTCCTGCAGTACCTCTGGAGACCCTTGGTAAATCCTTGCTCCTACCTCACCTCTGCCATCAACATGGAAGACTTCAAGATCATTTTTAACAACTAGAAGTCTGGCTGGACACAGTGGCTCATGTCTGTAATCCCAGCACTTTGGGAGGCCGAGGTGGCAGATCATGAGGTGAGAAGTTCGAGACCAATCTGGCCAACATGGTGAAACCCCCATCTCTACTAAAAATACAAAACTAGCCAGGTGTGGTGGCACATGCCTGTAAACCCAGCCTTCTCAAAAAAACAAAACAAAGCTAGGAGTCCTAGTTGGATATTTCCTCTCTATCAGCTTCCCAGCAAAAAAGAAAAAACAAATCAGCACAAGAGATGCTTCCTTTCGGCTGGGCGCGGTGGCTCACGCCTGTAATCCCAGTACTTTGGGAGGCCGAGGCGGGTGGATCACGAGGTCAAGAGATCGAGACCATCCTGGTCAACATGGTGAAACCCTGTCTCTACTAAAAATACAAAAAATCAGCTGGGCATGGTGGCGGGTGCCTGTAGTCCCAGCTACTCAGGAGGCTGAGGCAGGAGAATTGCCTGAACCCAGGAGGTGGAGGTTGCGGTGAGCCGAGATCGCGCCATTGCACTCCAGCCTGGGTAACAAGAGTGAAACTCTGTCTCAAAAAAAAAAAGAGATGCTTCCTTTCTTATAATTTCAAAAGTATTCTCTAATTGAAACAAAGGCAAGCACACTGTGTTTCCTCAGACAATCCACACCCAGCAGAGACATGAGAACGTTCACATTACTAGCCTGTATTAAATTAGGGTGGGGTGGGGCAGTTGGATCAAGTGCCCCAAGGAGGTATACACCCAAGGGTGACAGCAGCCAGAGGGACCCAGCAGAGTGGGGCGGAATTCTGGCTCCATCTTTCCCCATTCTGTGACTTTAGGCACTTCCTCCTTTAGAAAACAAACCAAAGAATATCTAGTTGTGGGGTGACTGTGTGGGTCCAATTAGGCCAGAATCTAGGACCATCTGTGTGCTCTTCCTTGAAGAGAAGGAGGTGGATTTGGGTGATTTGTGGCAGGGGTGAGAGGGGAAGGGTGCCTAGTAAATGCTTGCAGAATGAATGGGCAGCACATTCTGACCAGGGTAGACAGTCTTCTCCACCTGCCGATGTGGGTCACCGCCCGGTCAGGGCCACAGCACACACAGGCTGGAATCCTGCTGAAGCAGGGTGAGCTGACCTGGCTGGGATGTCAACGTTGCCAGGATGTGCCCACCCTCTGAAAACGGCAGTCTGTTATTTTGCAGCAATCAGAAGAATTATACTGTTTGAAGAATGTTTAGAATGTTTATACTCAAAGATAAGGAAACTAATAATAGCTAGCAATTCTTAACGCGCTTAACAGTGTACATGCCAGGTGTTGGCCCATTTACTGAACATGAGTCCCCATGGCAATCCTGTCAGGTTGGCTGATACTGTAATCATGCCCATTTTGCAGAAGAGGAAAGGGAGGTATTGAGAGGCGAGACAGCTTGCATTCTGTCACGAAGCTCCCGAATGGCAGAGATGGGATCTAAACAGAACGGTTGACACCAAAGCCCACTCCAAATACCAAGTTGCTTCCCATTTCTAGGATGTTTATCACTTCATCTTCCCTTCAGTTTTAGAGTCTGATTACCATGGACTGCTGGGCACCCACTGCCCACATGGACAAGAGATTTAGTGTCTGTTTCAGGAGGGCTCTCGGGTCGGCAGAAGCTCTAAGGGGCAGTTTCCCTGGCCAGCGCTCCTTGGGGAGAGGGAGCTGGTGTGTGCTTAAGGCTTGGTAGATTCTCTCAGCCTGTGGTTTGGGTTAGGAAAATATCCTCCCCCAAAACCTCCATATTTAGTCTCCAAGTGGAATGGACCAGGCAGAAACTACAAGCAGAAAGCTGGGACTATGGGGATTGAGAAAACAAGCCTTTGCTAATTTTAAATGTGAGACTCAGTCAGTCTAGACCAGATCTTCCTGTTGCTTTTTTCTTTTAATGACTACACTCCCCCATTTTTTTTCTGTCTCTTCTTCTTTACAACTTCTTTCTTCAACTGCTGAACCTATAAAATGGGATGTTTCCTATATGCTCAGGCAACAACCCTTAAAAAATTGGGGTTTTTCTGTTTGTTGGGTTCCTGTACAGGTAGGTGTGAAAGTCTCTGTGTGTGTGTGAGCTCACATGCACGTGTGTGTGTGTGCGTGTGTGACACGATGGAGGTGGCAGACAGGTAAAAAAGAAGACAAAGAAGATGGAGAGCCAGAAAGGACTGTCCCATTTATTTATTTAGAGATGGAGTCTTGCTCTGCTGGCCAGGCTGGAGTGCAGTGGTGCCATCTTGGCTCACTGCAACCTCCTTCTCCCAGGTTCAAACGATTCTCCTGCCTCAGCCTCCCAAGTAGCAGAGACTACAGGTGCACGCCACCACACCCAGCTAATTTTTGTATTTATAGTAGAGACAGGGTTTCACCATGTTGGCCAGGATGGTCTCAAACTCCTGACCTCAAGTGATCCACACGCCTTGTCCTCCCAAAGTGCTGGGATTACAGGTGTGAACCACCATGCCCAGGCTTTTTTTTTTTTTTTTTCATTTCAAGCTTCCCCACTCACCTTTACTAATTTCAGTGAGTAGGCCTCCTGTGGATAACTAACTTACCTGGCCCCCAGTGCACATGGCAGGCTCATTCTCTCCCAGTGCCTTTGCCCAAATCTCTCTCCAAAGGCTCTTGAAACCAAGGAAGTGTTTCATTATTAAAACGAGGAGGGCCGGGCGCGGTGGCTCAAGCCTGTAATCCCAGCACTTTGGGAGGCCGAGGCGGGTGGATCACAAGGTCAAGAGATCGAGACCATCCTGGTCAACACGGTGAAACCCCGTCTCTACTAAAAATACAAAAAATTAGCTGGGCATGGTGGTGCGTGCCTGTAATCCCAGCTACTCAGGATGCTGGGGCAGGAGAATTGCCTGAACCCGGGAGGCGGAGGTTGCGGTGAGCCAAGATCACGCCATTGCACTCCAGCCTGGGTTACAAGGGCGAAACTCCGTCTCAAAAAAAAAAAAAAACGAGGAGGGTCTGTGTACCCAGCCAACACAATTGTGGCCATCTGGAAGCACCGCAGATGGCTCTCCCCACACCCAGATTCCCTAACAGGCATGCAGTACCAAGCGGCCAAGACATGGAAGGCCTCACCTATGCCAAGGCCTTCTCACCCAAACAATCACTTGTGTCCCTATCAGCACACAGTTTCAGTCTGGGCTTTGGCTGGGAAGTGACAAGAGTCTTATTTTTTAATCTCATTTGCCAATTAATTAGGATTATACCGGAAACCACTGAACAAAGGGAGAAGCACAAAATACACATCTGAAAACTTAAGATACCTTCAAGATACACTCTACCTGGTCTTTAATTCCCAGAACATCATTTTCTCCCGTAACAAAGAAAGGTGAAATCCCTCAAGTTCTCTGAGAAATATAGAAATATTATAATTCATCAAGAGAATAACTTTTAAAAAATCAAAGAAACTGATGGCAGAAACTCAGCCCCCAACTGACCATGCTTTTAGAAGCATCTGTGTGGCCCACCTTGACTCTGAGGTGTGTGGGGGCTGAGAACAAGCCTGTCCACTAGGCCAGATCCTTGTTCTACCTATAAATGGTACACACCAGCTCGGCCAATCCTGGCTTCTCTGGGTCACACTTGAGTGGACATGGCCACAAGCTTACATGTTATTTGATCAAGTGCCACAAGCCTGACTATTAGTAATGACTAATTGCTACTAATTACTAATTAGAATGACTAATTGACAGGCTCCTGGCTGTTAGCCACTCAAGACCATAAACAAACAAACACCCCGCCATGTATTTCACACAAGCATTAGAAACAAGTGTTTAAGTTTGATTTATGTTTAAAAAAAAAAACTCACACAGTATGCAGGATGCAGACTCCATCCATCCTACTCCCCAGTAAAAGGGCTGTGTGAGAGACTGGTCTGCGGAAATTCCCAGAGAAGCTCCACCTCTCTGTCCCAGGTTCTGGAGGGTCACATACCAAGGGGGTGTCCCCGGTGGGCTGTGTGCATCTCCATAACCAAGCCTTCCCCTGGTGACATGTCATTTCTCCCTCTCTCCTCTCTGACCACTAAGAAGGTCTGTTTGGGACTGTGATTTCTGTTTGTGCCAGGGTTACTCAGGGTGCCCCATACTCACTCCTAGGTGGGGAGGGAGCTGAAGGGTCGGGGGTAAAGGGGCGGAAAACCAGGGACCCCGGTAGGGAAGGGAAGGCCAAGAACCCAGCCATGGGCAGGTGGGAAGACGGCCAGACGGCAGCCACTGTCCCATCGTGAGTCTGTGTCTAGGTTTGCTCTCCCAGGTGGATCTCGGCGCACGAACCCTGCAACCACGGGGCAAAGAGGCAAGAGAAAACGACCCGAGTTCGGGATTCCGGACCGTGGGACTCGAGGGGAACCAATGTCCTGCACTAACCGCAGAACCTTATTCAGATCATGGTCACTCCCACCCCTATGACCTAATAATGACAACGGTGAACCTGCTACGCAAAATAGAGCTTGTCGGCCCAGCCTCTGTAATCCGCACATTTCAGGCGCCCAGGACACCTGGGAGGTCTAGTGTAATCCTTCCGTTTTGCAGCTGAAAAACTGAAGACCCTGGAAGGAAACTGCGTCACAAGTCCCCTAGAGGCAGCATTCCGTCTGGGGTCCCTGGGTCTCACGCGCCTGCCCGCGCGCTTGCAAAGCAGGACCATAACCCAACCCGCACAGAAACTTGTGGACAGGAGCTCAACTCCTCCTTGAATTATGGGTAAAATACTCTGGGCAAGTATATGCTTCTGTGTGCCTCTGCTTCTCTGTGAAATGGATGTGATAATAACGGCGAGGCATCATAATTCAATACAATGTGATCAGCCACCCTGAATCCCCAAAGTTCCATCTGGCTCCTAAACTACTGGTTAACCTTGCAATAGTCACTGCATTTTGCAAGAGTTTGGGGGAGTCCACTTAGAGCATTTAAGAGGGCGTGTGCACAGCGTTGTAGTGAGGGTTTAGGAGATTAAACTTCACAGCTCTGGGCACAAGGTTTGGCACAACCGTTAAGTACAACAAATGGCCTATTGTTGTTGATCATCCTCATCCCAGCTTCTGTCGGGCCCCAGTTCCCAGCCCGCGCAGTACACCTGCCCGGCGCTCACAGCGGGGCGCTCACCTGGTCCGCGCCGGGAAGCCGCTGCGGGAGGACTCGGAAGAAGACGCAGAGGGGCAGAGCGGCGAGCGCCGAGTAGCCCCAGATGAACGCCAGCAGCACTGACCGCGCCAGCCGCCCAGGACCCCGCACGCCGCGCTGCAGGCGCACGATGCACACCATGCGCTCCAGGCTGACCGCGGCCAGCGTGAGGATGGTGACGCTGCCGCTCAAGGTCATCACGTAGAAGAGCAGGTGGCAGGCGACGGGGCCCAGCAGCCAGGCCTCGGTCCAGCGCACGGCCAGCACCAGCGGGATCGCGCTGATGAAGAGCAGGTCCGCGCAGAAGAGGTTGAGCATCAGGCAGGCGGTCGCGCCGCGGCGTCGCCGGCGCGCCACTAGCACCAGGGCACATACGTTGCCCAGCAGCGACACTGCAAAGATGAGCGCCAGCACGGTTGTCTCCACCGCGGTCAGCACCAGCTGGTGGTCTCCCTTGACGTCGGAGAAGAAGGGGAAGCGGGTGCGGTTGGCTCTCTCCAGGCTTCGCAGGGGCGCGTAGCCCGCAGCCCGCGCGCATTCAGAGTACATTCCCGGGTCCCGGCGGCCAGCAGCGGTCTGAGAGAGTGCTCATCTGGGAGGCGACTGAGTGCCAAGGCGGGGAAAGAGGGAGGGAGGCGGTTGCGACATCTACCCTCCGGCCCCCTCCGGTCTGAGGAGCGCCGGCGCTGGGTACAGGGAGCTGCGCCCGGGGCGCGCGGGAACGAGGAAGTGCCGGGAAAGGCCGGCAGCAAACACCACAGCTGGGCGGGGAGGTGGCGGCCAAGGCGGAAGCCTCACGCCCTCTGGCCGTTTGAAAGCACACCCAGAAGCCTGAAAACCCACCTAGCGAATTCCTCGAGCCCCCGCAGGGCCTCCCCTACCTCCTTCATCCTTCAGGGGCACGGGATGTACCAACCCTTTTGTGAACGGATTTAGCTAAAATAGATTTAAAAGTGTCAGAGCTGGCCTTTGGAGATTACTTTGGCCTGTGTCGTTCAGACTAAACTAAAGAAACTCCAAGGGTCTGGAGGTAGATCCTAAAGCAACTTTTAATGAGCCCGTATTTTTTGTGGGGCACAGAGGGAGTGGAGATCTTTTATCACTACTTAATAACAGGTCTTCAGGTGGCTTGTTTACCCCCCCACCCCAGATTTTTCATCTATAAAATGGGAATACTAATACCCCGTTAGGTTATTGTGAGGCTCATGTAGAGTTTGCACACTTGGCACACAGCAATGTTACGCATTACATGTTATCAAGTGTTAGTTATTGTAACTAAAATGCAAATTAATTTTGCATTCTGAACAATGATATATAATGCTTTCTTGTAAAAAGGGCGAGTCCTTCCAAAGTTTTTAATAAACTTGCCATCCCAGGAAGACAGATATTTCAAGGCTGGCAGATACACACACAAGCTCTGAATGTGCCCCAGGTGCCACCGTCGAGGACCACTGGGCAGTCCAGTCCTGTTAGAGATAAGGAAACTGAGGCCCAGCAAGAGTGACATATCTAAGCTGTCCTCTGGTTAGTAATGAAAGCCAGTCACCTGCCCCTGTCCCACACATTTCCATTACACCATTGCAGTCTGGGTTTTCTGTAAATGAGGAAGCTGGAGATGGAAAAGTATGTCTGTGGCCTAAGATCCAGTGACCACTTCTCCTGCCAGCCCCCCTCCTACCACCTTCACCCCCTCTCCCCTCTGCCATATTATCAGGCCTCTCCCAGTTGCCCATTCTATCTTCTAATTGTCTTTCTTAAGGTTGGGTCTTAAGAAACCTAAGTATTGGCTGGGGACGGTGGCTCACGCCTGCAATCCCTGCACTTTGGGAGGCCAAGGTGGGTGGATCACCTGTCAGGAATTCCAGACCAGCCTGGCCAACATGGTGAAATGTCATCTCTACTAAAAATACAAAAATTAGCTGTGCGTGGTGGCAGGCACCTGTAATTCCAGCTACTTGGGAGGCTGAGACAGGAGAATTGCTTGCACCTGGCAAGTGAAGGTTGCAGTGAGCCAAGAGCACACCACTGTACTCCAGCCTGGGCAACAGAGCAAGACTCCATCTCAAAAAAAAAAAAAAAGAAGAAGAAGAAGAAGAAAGAAACCTGGTGCAACCAGTCTGAAATACTGTCTGGGGAGGGGGTCCTTTGTGTGTCTGCTTTTCACAGAATCGAACAGGTCTCAGCTGACGATGTGACTTCTAACCTGAGAAGTACATGCTCAATTTGAATGTTGACTAGGTTCAAGCTGAAAAACAAAACTGGTTTCTTCCTGAAACAGTTGAAAAAAGGCAAAAAATTGAAATAAAGGGAACTCAGACAAATGGGGTTTTGGCAACTCTCTGGTTACCATCAGGGGATATTAGTTTTTATGTGAGGGAAAGGAAACTCTGTGTGTATGTGTGTGTATGTGTGTGTGTGGAGGGGGGGTGGGTGTATGTGACAGAGAGAGAGAGACAAAGTAAGAGAGAAAAACACAGAGAGAGACACAGAGAGAGACTGATTCATCACAGGCTGATGTGATGATATAGGCACAAAGAAGTTTCCCAGAATTTACAACCAGGATGGGCTCTCTGCACAAAACGGCCTTCTCCAACATTAACCCCCTGGGTTATACCAATGGCGAAATGCAGAGGCTCATAAATTTTCTTCTTTCATACCACCTTCATGGCACCCCTAGGCCAAAAGAAAACCCTAACAGTTTCATTTATTAAGTAGCTGGGTCCAAACAACTTAGTAAGATTTTATGTCCTAACAACTTAGTAACTATCTTGGAAAATAATAATACATATAAATTGGGGTAAAATTTTTGTTGTTTCATTCTTTTTTTCTTTTTATTTTTGAGAGGGAGTCTCGCTCTGTTGCCCAGGCTGGAGCGCGGTGGCGCCATCTCAGTTCACTGCAACCTCCGCCTCCTGGGTTCAAGAGATTCTCCTGCCTCAGCTTCCTGAATAGCTGAGATTACAGGTGCCCACCACCACGCCCGGCTAATTTTTGTATTTTTGTACAGATGGGGTTTCACCATGTTGGTCAGGCTGGTCTCCAACTCCTGACTTCAAATGATCCACACACCTTAGCCTCCCAAAGTGCTGGAATTACACGCTTGAGCCACCACACCGGCCTGTTGTTTCATTCTTAAATAACCACATTGATGCCAGGCACAATGACTTACCCCTGTAATCCCAGCACTTTGGGAGGCTGAGGCTGGAGGATTGCTTGAGCCTAGGAGTTCAAGACTAGCCTGGGCAACATAACCAGACCCCATCTCTACAAAAATTTTTTTTCAAAAAAATTAGCTGGGCATGGTGGCTTGTACCTGTAGTCCCAGCCTCTTGGAAGGATTGCTTGAGCCTGAGAGGTTTGAGGCTGCAGTGAGCTATGGTCATGCCACTGTACTCCAATGGGGGCAACAGGGCGAGACACTGTCTCAAAAAGAATTCTGTTAAAAACCCACAATGACGGCTTCCTAATGGGCTGGGTGCACTTGTTGTACTCTTCACAGCTTCTCAAAACAAAATCATATTGAGCACTGCTACCCTCCTTCCCTGCTCCACGTGGATTTTCATGCAGCCCTGCTTTTTATCACAGAAACTCCTAAACACCCAGCTTTGTAAAGGTACAGTGTCATGAGTCTAACACTGGAATTGTGAATTACCTAGTAGAGCTAGTAGTTCACGAGGAGCCACATAAATGTTGAGTAATGCCATTTCCCTGGGGCACCTGAGAGCATGTGGGCACTAGCCTTTGGGGACCAGAACCCTAGTTGTACAACTCATTGTGTGCCCTTGGGTAAGTTACTGTAGCTTCCTAGAGTTTCAGTCTTCTCATATATGAAAGGGGATCGTGATAGTACTGACCTCGTAGGGTTCTGGGAAGATGAAATGAAGTTCCTTTATATAAAGTACTTAGCACAGTCATTGAATGGACACTGTGGGTCAGGCTCTGTGGTCAACACTGGATATGGATTATGGACACAACCCTGTTTGCTGACAGAACCAGTTTATTAAATAATAATGATAATTATTATTATTATTGGAGACAAGGTCTCACTCTGTCACCCAAGTTGGGGTACAGTGGCATGCACATAGCTCACTGCAGCCTTGAACTCCTGGGCCCAAGTGATCCTCCTGCCTCAGCCCCATGAGTAGCTGGGACTGCAGGGGCACACTATCATACCCAGATAACGATTTTTTATTTTTTGTGAGGTGCAGTCTCCCTAGGTTGCCCAGGCAGGTCTTGAACTGTTGGTCTCAAGCAATCCTCCCACCTTGGCCTCCCAAAGTGCTGTGATTACAGGCGTGAGCCACCACGGCTTTCATACACAGGGCTCAGTGTGGCATGCTCAGGGTAGACAGACTTCACATGTTCCTTGGAGACTGGACAGCAGAGAACCGTAGGCTGATCCATTACTGTGAAAGTCATATTTATTGCTCATGCTCATTTGTTCTTTTACCTCTTCCACTCTCAGATAAAACCATAGAAACCGAGACAAGGATTCACCAAGTGTAAATACGGACAGTCTCATTTCTAAGCTAAAGAGAAAGCCAACACTGCAGATGGCTTCTGTACCTCTTTATATTTCCAACCAAACAGGAGGGGAGAGGTGCACAGGGGACTTTCTCTGTGTATGGTTTTCTTCTCTTTCTTTCCTTCCTTCCTTTCTTTCCTTTTTTCTTTCTTTCCTTTCCCTTCCATTTTCTTTCCCTCCTTTCTTCCTTTCCCTTCCTTTTTCTTTTCCTTCCTTCCTTCCTTCCTTTTTCTTTTCTTTCTTTCCTTTTCTTTCTTTCCTTTCTTTCTTTCCCTCCCTCCCTCCCTCCTTCCTCTCTTTCTCTCTTCCTCTCTTTCTTTCCTTTTTTTTTTTTGAGACAGAGTCTCTCTCTATTGTCCACAAAGGAGTGTAGTGGTGTGACCTTGGCTCACTGCAACCTCCACCTCCTGGGTTCAAGTGATTCTCCTGCCTCAGCCTCCTGCATACCTGTGTTCAAGATCCATCTTTTTTAGTAGAGACAGGGTTTTACCATGTTGGCCAGGCTGGTCTCTAACTCCTGACCACAAGTGATCCACTCACCTTAGCTTCCCAAACTGCTGAGATTGCAGGTGTAAGCTACCACACCCGGCTGGCTTTCCTATTTTTCCTCTGGAAAAATCATATGAAATTGGTATAAAAATGCTTACTGGCCCATCACTCTCTCTCCAAATCTCTGTGTGAGAGTCTGTCCATCTGCCTGCGTATCTGCGCATCTATCTGTCTGTCTAGCTAAACCTATCAGTTCTGAGACATATGTTTTTGCAGGTTTGGAGTATCTCCTTGCAAAATTAGGATATATTATAGAGCAGAATGCAAAGATTTCAAGTCACTCCCCTGCCTCTGTTCCTCCCATCTTGCCAAGGTGAGACCCCGCCCCCCAACACACTCCTCCAGATCCCCAGACCCAACTGCCCTGAGCCGTCATAGCTGGGTAACCACCTCGGCCAGTCCAGAGTGGGGTGAAGGGGAAGGCCACCTTGCAAGGCTCCTTCTTCAAGGGGGCCCAAGAGCTCCCAGGTAGACAGGGCACAGGCATTCAGACCAAGGGAACAGCAATGCAAAGGTGAGAAGGCTCGAGAGAGCATTGCACACCTGGGAAGGGGCAAGTGTTCTGGCGTGGCCAGCCCTGTGATCTTCTCCACCATCCACACCTATTTGCCAAAGGAAAGGAGCCCAAGTAGAAGGTGGAAAATAAGAGCAAGACTCAAGTGATCAGCTGCCTGTGTGTAAGCTGTTCACACTAGGGGCCCCGGGCAGGGATCACACCATGTCTACTTTAAACAAGATATAGTGGCCGGGCCCCAGCTAGCACACTCAAAGCTTTGTGTTAAGTTAGAAAAAAGGGACTTCCTTGAACAGATGAGTCAAAAGGCTCTCCTTCCCCAGGGTTGATGCGGCCAAGGCTCTGGGGATGGCCGCTGTGTGCG